AGGGAGCAGTGTTGCGTCAGCGAGTCACATGACTACCGTGGTGCCCTCTAGTTTCTAGAACTATCTTGTTCTTTCATGAATGCTCTAGTATTTACTAGATAGGGTAGTCTGGTATATAAAAGAGGGGAAAACGTGACGCGGAAGGTAATGTAATGTGTGTATAGACAGTGAGTAATTGATCTGCAGTCAGAAGTATTATTGACGTTCGTTGTTATAGCGTTTGTTTAGCGCAACTGTGGAAGTTGAGTGTATCGATAAAGTTATATTCGGAAAGAATAAACCAGTTTTATTAAGAAAGGACTTGTATCGCTTAAGTTTCGTCGGAACGAAGTTACGGAAAGTTAATTAACAAACGGAGACGTGACAATATATATCTATAGTAGAGACGGCTGAGATGGGTATTGAAAACTTTTATTTGAAAAACACAAAACAAGTTAACGACGTTTCGACCTTTTTAGGTCATCATCAGGTTAAGAATAAGTATTAATGACTTATTTTTTGTTAGTATGTCTTATAGATTTCGACGACAACTTTATTTTTAATACAGTCCCAAAATAACCCAAAATTTGATGATGTTAGTTAAAGGATATTAAAAATATTCTTGGAAAAATTTTATAGTTTAGTCTATATAAGAGAGTCACAGAGTGGTAACAGATTTCACTGTATTTAATAATTCAGAGTTAGAATTTAAAATTAATAGTGATTGAATAAGATAGTTCAATAATTTACACGTGTACTGTCACTGCAGGATCCTCGGGATAACATGACGGGACAAAATCACCAACAAAAAATGCTTGAGTGCGCCAATACACTGATCATACTTCTCTCTGTTAAGTCAGGGAAAGTTGAGATGGCTTGGACACACAAGGGGATGAAAGATGGAAGAATCCCTAAAGACATACTGTATGTGGAGCTAGCAATAGGAAAAAAGATCATTTGAATGTCCCAATATACGCTACAAGGACGCTTGCAAAGGGTATATGAAAACTTTTGAAATTTTTGTTGACAACTGGGAAGAAGTAGCAGAAAATTGAAGTGCTTCAAAAAGCTGTGTGAAGGAAGGCATGGCGAAAAATGAAAGTAAAAACTCAGCAAGCAAAAGAAAAAGGACCATCAGAAAGAATTCGGCACAACATCCTTCACGCTCAACAACAATCTTTGCCTGCTCAAACTGCAACAGAGTGTGCTTGTCCTAAATAGGACTACACAGTCACGTAAGAAAGTGCCTAAACAATTAGACATTTATTGGTGCCTAATCTATAGTCTTGCGAGACTTACAGATGCCTATTACTAGTACTAAGATAGCACTTTTTAGCGAATGAAATGGCAAGTTCTTCTAAGGGCCAAGCATAGATTATTGGGTAGCGTGATCGGACTGTAAATTTGGGGGTTCATCATTCGCGACTCGTTGCTGCAAGAATGCATTTTGCACTTTTGTTCCCTGTGTGTGCTACAATAATGGAGTATATTCAGACAAAACTCATAATGAATTGCATGGGCACAGAAAATTGTAACAACAGACTTTCTTGAACCATGGTGAGTCCTTGTCTTTCGTAGGATGTCTTGATACTGGACACCATGTGGGAGTTTACACTACAGCCATTTCTACCATAGCAAACAGAAATCATGAAGTAGGAGCTTCATGAACACCATAGTTAACACTTTGGGAATACTGGTAAGAGTAACTAAAATATCATGATTTAGCATAGGTGCTCTTTGCCAAGCAGCAAGCTAAATTTGACCAGCACTAATAGCATGGATGCTTGTAGCCTGTGGAAATTGTATGGTTAGTTTCAAGTGCAGGAAGGTGTACTGTACCACCACTTTAAACCAATGCGGTAATTAGTACATGGTAATTGGTAATTGCTTGCAAAGTTTGTTGATCCTGACAACCAACTGGTATGAACACTTACCATGTGTGATAACAGTATACAGAAAAACTGAGCAGATATCTACAAGACGTTTGCAAAATAAACTCATGTCAGGCAGGATATACTACTCTATGTTGGTGTGATGTCTGGTCATCTCCCATGAGAGGATGTCCCCATTGCTATTGCTTGCAGCATGGCAATTAGTATTTTAGGTTGTATCTACAGAAATATTAAATACAAGCCTAAATAGGTTATAATGTCAATGTATAGGTCATTGGTTAAGCAACATTTGGAGTACTGTGTTCAGTCTTGAGTTCCTTACCTTAGAAAGGACATTGAATTATTGTAGAGGGTTCGGAGGAGGGCTACTGGGATGATACCTGAGATGAAAAGGCTGTAATACAAGGACAGGTTAAGATCTACGAAATTGTTTTCTATTGCAAAAAACAAGAGTTAGAGGGGATCCAATTTATCAAACTGTGGCAACTTGGTCCATTAAAGTATGAGTTATAATGGATGCAAGGCATGTGCCGCATCCACACATCTCTGATGAATCTCTTGGACAGTAGTCTAAGACTTGAGACCGAACAGTCATACCAAATATGCCATCTCAAGTCATACCAACACTCTTGATGAAGGATAAAGAGTTGAACGTACTTGTTTGGCTGTCCATGATGAATCATATGAAGAGTCTCTAGAATCAAAGGTAAAAGACAACTCTGACTGCCTGTTTAGCTGTTGATGTTGCCATTCAGATCAATATGAGTGTGACTGATCGATTAGGATAGTCGGGCAATTAAAAACTACTGCCTGTAAAGACATGACATTCCTTGCTTTCCGTGTCATTGAGTGATAGTGTAAAGCACAAAGTATGCAATACATTGTATGATTACCACCCAATCATCATAACAATTAGGACAAAATTAGAGCAAGCAACCAATGATTGAAAGAGTGTTGCAGCGTACGATTTCTGATCTATCAGGTGGTATTTTGACATATGACTCATTTACTACATTGTGTGGTTATTACTCAATTATCAGCAGCTAAGACAGTCATTAAGTTGAACAATAATATAATACCTAGTACATGAAAAGTTTGCACGACTAAATATGACATGGTAGCAAGAAATTTGAAAACTCAACTTTAAGAGCATTGTGCCATTTGCTCTCTGAGCTGTCAGATAGTATTTCATGGTGTGATGTAAGCACTACATTTCGGGATTACCATTTGATGTATTTCATAAGCTAGGATAAACATGTAATTGAAAAATCATGACTGAAAGGGCATTACAACACTTGATTTCCAAGTCATTGAGTGAATTTTCCGATGTAAAACATTGCCTGACATTGTGAGAGAATCACTCCCATGATCTAGCTGAGTGGTGGAAATTGTATGGAGCATTCTACCTTTTACATTCTATATTTTCATTTACTTACCTGGGAAGTATGCTGATTCTACGAGCAGAGAAGGGATGTTTTTCCTCTGAGTGAATATTGAGATACAGTAGTGAAAAATACTAAAAATACTGGCTGATTAGACTTTTAACTAAAAAGTTTTGGTTCGTCCAACTTTTGCCATGATTATTTATTTTGTGATACCAGAAATGAAAACCCAGTTCAAGGTGACAACTCCTAGATTGCAATAATGTCGCTACCCAAGCAAAGCTTTGGAAGGTAACCCAAGCATTGCTTCATGTAACCCAAGTAGCCAAATTAAGTAACTCAAGAAGGTTATCCTAGTAATTCATGTGAGAGCCTGAAATAATTTATAAAATATGAGAGTATTTGACAATTTATGCTGGTAATATATGTACAAATAAATAAATATGTGCGCATAATTGTACACACACATATATATATATATGTGAACATTTTATATAGTGATCCCCGAGAGTTGTATATCATCCCTGAATCAATTACACAATAGAAAGCAAGAAGTAGTAGTAAGAAGAATTAGGCTAAGCCAGAGAGTAAGCTGTGTTTATTAGTAGTAAAAATAATTAGGCTAGGCCAGAGAGTAAGATGTGTTTATTACTAGTAAGAAGAATGAAGCTAGACCAACGTAAGCTGTGTTTATTAGTAGTAAGAAGAATCAGGCTAGGCCAGAGAGTAAGCCGTGTTTATTAGTAGTAAAAATAATTAGGCTTGGCCAGAGAGTAAGCTGTGTTTATTAGTAGTACGAAGAATTAGGCTAAGCCAGAGAGTAAGCTGTGTTTATTACTAGTAAGAAGAATGAAGCTAGACCAGAGTAAGCTGTGTTTGTTAGTAGTAAGAAGAATCAGGCTAGGCCAGAGAGTAAGCTGTGTTTATTACTAGTAAGAAGAATGAAGCTACACCAGAGTAAGCTCTGTTTATTAGTAGTAAGAAGAATCAGGCTAGGCCAGAGAGTAAGCTGTGTTTATTAATAGTAAGAAGAATGAAGCTACACCAGAGTAAGCTCTGTTTATTAGTAGTA